AGGAATGGAGGTAAAGTGTTGTAAACGGAAATGAGTGCTTGATAATCAAGATCTTGTCTTGCTTTTCTGGTAGAAATCCATATTAATGTTGGTTCATCCCCTTCACTAGCTTTGCTGACTCTTCTGCTGAGGTGAGGGATACAGAACACTAGGTCTGAACTGTTACAGTACAGAATTGTCTTTTGTAGTTATCTTTCTTATCAGTAGTATCTACTTTTCTGGAACCTCTATACAACCAGTCAAAACGTGATTATAGCCATGGTTGCACTGGGTATGTATGAGAATACACCCATGGGAGAAGACAGCAGTAGAGGGGAGGAGTTCCTTTACTCCTTCAGGAACTGCAAAATGTGTGCATACAATCAAAAAGGGGCTAATTACATGTTCTCCTAGATCTGCTGGGGACATGAAAAGGCTATCTAGGCTAGAAGATTTTACAAAAACAAAGCATTACAAGCATCTTCACAGAGAATGGAAGCAAGGGCTTTTGATTAGTTTGCAAGACATTCACTCCTGACATCCATCCTCTTTATAACACGTTTGACCACCTTTCCCTGCACATAAACACGCAGACTGATTTAGTGCTGTTGGCGTGCAGGTAGGTCAGCAGGTTGGGCTGGCCAGCCATCCGTTCCATGGGATCGTGGAGCAGCTGTAGGGAACCCCACTCTGCAGCCTAAAGAAGAGCTGAGCGTAAAAGAGTGCAAAAGTCAAACTCTGGATCTACCTGTAAAGCGCTTTGGCTTTCCCATTAGCAGACTTTATGTTGGGGTGGGGGTTGCTTTTGTTGACACCTGGGAGTAAAGGTTTGGTACCAGCTTCCAACTTATTTTATTTTTGAGCCTCTCTTCTCCTGCTCCAGCTTTCCTAGTAACAATCTCTCCTCTCTTTGCTCCTCTCCTGCTCTCTGCTCTGCTGCTGTTGCTATGGTTCCCCTTTGCAGGATGAGATCCTGGTGAGTAGAAGGCCACTCAGCAGGGTGTGCTAATGAACATTAATGTTGCATCTGGGAAGGCAAGAACAGTGTGAACAAATTATTCCCTCTGCTGCTGAATGTGGAGAGGAGGGTAGCTGGTGATAGGCACAGGTGAAGCAGAAATGAAGTGAAAAAGTAGTATGCTGAGGGAAAATTCGGAGCTGCTGGTACATCTTTTGAGTGGGTGGAGATAAACAGCAGTAATCCAAGGATGTGTGGTTCTGTTTCACTGCCCCCTCCTGTCCACAGAGAGAATAGGACTGTCTTGAGTTAACTGTAGGCATGGAAGGAAGATTCAATGCTCCTACGTTTACCTTTATAGGGCAATTTGACAGGTAAAAGGATTGTCTGCCTGTAGGCTGCTTGCACGGGGCAGCTTGCTAATATGAAGTGCAGTCGCATGTTTTTCAGTGCCACATCGTTTTCAGCACGCACATCCATACAAGGTACACAGACATAACGCATGCAGATGTTTTTGGGTGTTAACAGTGCAGTAATACATATAAAAGCTAATGCATTTAAGCTGATGCATACTTGCATTTCTTCAGTGCATGTGTGAGGCTCTAAACCAGCACTTGGTGAATTGGAGTTCCCTAAAGCGTTACAGCCTGGCTTCCTCGCAGACTGAACTTAAAGGAACTTGTTTTGCCCAAAATTGACTACCTAGATACCTGAGTATGCTGAAGTCCAGGGTACTAATTCCAGATGCACCATTTTGTTCTGTTATACTTAGTGTCTCCTTTTTACTAAACTCAGTTCTTTCTGGGTTGCTTGCCCGTCCCTTCTTGAACGGGTTCCCCCCACCCCTGAGCTGAGTGAAGCACTCCACACGTGCGGTGTGCCGAAAGGTGTGCTGGTGTCCTGGTTTTCTCTAGGCATGGCCTTTTCTGGATGTGTTGCTGTGATCTGGTGCTTGTAGGTTATGCCAGTGTCCGAGGCACTCCTGATGCAGTTCTTCCTGCATCTCTTTCCTCTTGGCAGAGGGTATAACGCACAGCACTGCCAGGTTCCTTCCTGCGTCCTTTTTCTACTATTCCTGGCCTTTCTGAGGCAAAGACCTTCACTGGCCAGTTGAGTGGGGGGCTCTCCTGGCAGCAGCAGAGAGCATGGTGTTCCTTGTCTTTCCGTACTACTCTGAGCGTAGGGATACCCTCTGGGCTTTCCTCTGTCGCCTGAGGGGGCAGGCTTTTAGGGCCCTTGTTAACGCTCACTGCTTCCACCTCCTTAGGTCATCCGAAAGGGCTGGCTCACCATCAACAACATCGGCATCATGAAAGGTGGCTCCAAGGAGTATTGGTTTGTCCTGACAGCGGAGAACCTCTCCTGGTACAAGGATGATGAGGTGAGTAGCTCAACTCTGTGCCTTGAGTCTTGGCCATCTGATGAGGATGAGGATAAGGCCTTCAGGGTGTTAGAGATGTATCTTCTAAGTACTGTCTGCAGCTTGTGACACAAGCTGAACCTATCCTTGGGCTGGGTTCCCTGTGGTCTCAGTGCTGCTGAGCATTTCGGAATTGATGTGGCTGTGGCTTTTTTGATGCACAAGGAGTACCCTAGGAGCCCTGACTCAGCAGAAAGTTGACAGACATTTTGAATGAATTTGACCTTTGCCTTGCTGTGGCAGCTGTGAGCAAGGATGTGATGGGTCAGTTCCAAGATTTGGACTTTTTGGTGTTTCTGGGGCAGCCCATGATGAGTTTTGTGAATGAGTGTGGCAGAGGTTTTCGTGCATCGTTCCTGGTCACAAGAAAAATGTTCTTTTCTTTCTGAGCACAGCAACAGGAGCTGTGAACCTGAAGCTGCTGTTCCGGTGTTGGCTCCTTTTGACTTTGTTAATTAACCTCTCTAGGATACGGTTGTTAGACCTGCAAGGAAGGAATGTCTTTATTTTAATGTTTCTATATTGAATGTGCCAGTTAATGCATTATTTGTAAAATTGTTTCAATTGTGAATGGTTAGAATACTGCTCATCAAAAGTACAATGTTGTGTGGAATATCACTGACAGCAACATGGGCCTACTCTGTAGAGCTGACTGAAAATTCTGAATATTAGGAATTCTGGCAATGTGCTGTGGTGTCTTTCTGCTTCAGTGGGAAGTGATATAAGCAGGTAGAACTATCCCAGATGGAATTATCATTTGTTAACAGTGTCTTGCTTCCTGTGCAAGACAAAAGTAGATAATTGTCTTTTATGATTACTTTGAAAAGAGAAAGAATAGCAGCATGGTTTTGGTAAAGACATGATCGGAAGGGTTAGCTCCACTCAATGTGCTGGGGGACGGAAAATGCCTGGTATGATGTGGTCGTGCATTCTGACTTGATTGAGGTTTAGGAATGCAAATAAAGCAACTGCTCTGTCTCTTACTGTGGTTTGTGTCTCTCAGGTGTTCTGAGGCACGCAGTGGTGTGCCTTGGAGCCGCAGCTAGACCAGGCTTCTTGTGTGCGTCGTATCAGTGGGCCTCTGTCATTCTCGGCAGGTGGAAATGATGACAAATACGGTGATGAATCAGCCTCTAAATATCGCTTTCTGCATGGAGACTGCTGCTCTGCTGCTATGGATGAGCAGACAGCACTTTTCTAATTAAAGAACAAGACACTGGAATGTCTTTCACTAAATCAGTGTGTGTCTGTAAGACTCCTGCCCTTTGTATTCGGAGCGGCTTGGGGAGGCTTCACTTTCTTCTAGGCTGCGTATACAGGTCGAGTGGTTGTAAACATCGCATAGTTTTAATCAAAGCCAGCTGCTGCATCTGTATTAGAGATGATCATAGCTCCCTGTTCTTCCCCGGGGAGTGGGAGGGCTGCAGTGGGGCTGTGTAAGCTGTTGACAGACTCCAGTTGCCTGCCATGGGGATTGGGCCTCCCCTCCCTCCTGAGGGAGGGCAGCCTTGGTTGAGGGTCAGCAGCAGCCAGAGGTTTGCACCACTTCCCTTCTGTGCAGAAAGAGAGAGAACTGCCTCGTGAAAACAGTTCCCTGCCAGCTTTGGTCCCTTAAACACAGGAGGACCAGTGCTGAGGAGGTCTGAGCTGCCTCCGAGAAAGGAGCCTTTGTCTTCAACTTAAGTGGGAGCAGGGGAGACAGGGGAAGCGTGTTTTAACTTGCTTCCTCCCTAAGTTCAACTCCTTGGTCACTGGCTGTTGTGAGGGAGAAAGGAAGCAATGGGCTTGTGATAGTGGACTTGGGCTAAAAGTTGGTGCGTTTTAGAGGCAGCTTGCAAAGCCTTGAGCGTGGGGATTCCCATCCCAAACGTCAGTCCTGCGTGGAGCTGGCTCCGTCGGATCTGTCTGCAGCGTGTGGTCATCTGCCAGACAGGGTTAGCTTTGTGTGTCTTGGAGCTCTCTTCCACCAGTTCAGGGGGACTTGTGTCCCCCTCCTGAAATGTTCTCGTGTGTTTTTAAAACTGTACACCATGATCTTTCTTCACTCAAGCTCTGGGAGGAAGGGGGAGGCTTTGTCTGCCCCACCCTGCAGTTCTGTGGGCTCTCTTGTCCCAGTTCCCCTGTGCTCTGGCAGCTTTCCAGGGGGAACGAGGAGGGAGCTGAATCTGTCTTGTGTGGATGGAAGCGCTGGTGACAGAGCTGTGGATGATGATGGGGGAAGGAGCAGGGTGAGAAGGGGTGGGCTGGGGTGAGGGTGAAGGTTAGGCTAGCATCTCTGGAGCTGGGAGAAGTGGGGGCAAAGCCTCTCCCTGCCCTGTTTTGCAAGCCAGGACCCAGAGTCTGCGGAATGGAGACATCTGGACCCCATTAGTGAAATACCAGTCTTTCCGCAGTGCTGGCTTGTTTTTCTTCTGCCTCTGAAGAAAAGAACTGAAACTTAAAATGTCTTAAAGGGCCCAGCATTGCATGTTGGTTGGGATATATGGCTGTTGATGCTTTGGAGGGGCCTGAAGGAGTGTGCTGGGGAATGGGAGGGGAAGGAAAGAGCAGACCAGGCGGGGGTGGAAAGTTGGCTCCCCACTCTGCCTTCCTGCCAAAAGCATGTGTGTGTGCTCCTGGGCTCTCTATTTTTCTTCCTGTCTCCTTTCAATGAGTCCAACACTGGCCCCCATGGAGAGTGGCCCCCCAGAAAGCTGCCCTCCCAAGACCTGGAGACCCTCCTGAAGTACCTGTGCCCTGGGGGATTACTCTGCAGGCCAGCTGTGGGAGGGAGAGGTGAGGAGGAGCCTGCTCTGGCTGCTGGCGATAGAGAGCAAGGTTTCCTTGCCTCAGGGAGACCACAGCGTCCCCAGGGCCGGAGCAGAAGCACAGCACACTGCCTAGCTGCCGCGCAAGCACCGTAGTGAACACAATGCAAGAACTTGATTTGAAATAGTCCTGTCTGAATCCCTGGTGAAACGCGCAGTTCCCATTTCTCTGCAGGGCTTTTCTGCCTGCTAGAAAAGAGGGTCTGTGAGCTGAGCTGAGCTAGAGCTCCTGGTGATGGGGACCTTGTAGGCAAGATGCAATGGGCACTGTGCTCAGTGGTTTTTATTAATAAAGCTTACTGTCTACTGGAGGGGACTTCTGCATCCTCTGCTCTGCAAGGGTGGCGATTTCTGCTGGAGTGCCTGTGACTGTGTGCCGGAGCGTTTGCACAGCTGGGTAGATGGATGTATCTGCTATTTCCTTTGGGAATTTGCCTGAATGTACAATACAGATGGGACCTTCTGTCCTTACACAGGTAAATCATGTACTAGAAATTTGGGGCTTGTAAGAACGGGTGGCTGCTTGAGAAGAATATAGCCTTATTTGCTTGTGTGAAAATATTCATGTGTTGCATGCGATGTCAGTGTGTTTGAGACCCATGTATGTGCACGAGGGGTGGGCACAGGGGTTTAGGTACTTTCAGGTGTATGTGAGATGCTTCATATTCTTTAGGCATCACATTGATTCCTGCAGCATGAGTTGTTCTTGAGCTCTTTCTCTGTCTTTGTGGCTTCTCTTTTGCTTGAAGTACAAAAGTATTCTCTCCTGTCCTGGTTAAGATGTGACCTTATTGACAGTCATTAGATAGCTGCTTATTCTGTACCTGCAGATGTACCCAATTCTAGTTTTAAAATAAATGCATTGATCGATACTGAGAGTGCTCCTCTAGTGCACACACATGTGCATCCCCTCCTCCCCCCCTCGCCAACAATCCACTCCTCGAGGCCCAGCTCAGTTGGTAGAAATTGTTTTATCTTTGCTCTGATGCCCACCAAGGTTTTTGTGTCCAGCTTGTTTAAAGAGCACAGGAGCAGGTCTACTCTGAGGTTCTTCCTCTCCTGCTTTCCCACTGCTCTCAGGTGATCTCTGGAACGTGTTCCTTCTCTTCACATTCTCTGTGGAGCTCTTTCATTCATTATCTTTTTTTCACAAGTGCATGTTTTCTCATGGATAATATCTTACTCAGTCTCAATCAGTTCTCGTTTACACTTTCACTCACAGTTTCTCTTCTTTCTTTTCCAGACAGACATCAAAGCAAGCCAAACTTCCAGAGCACCCAAACCTCCAACTTTCAATCCTTTGTGGGTTTTTCTTTAGATTAATGACCAGCATTCTTTACAATGTGAAATCCCCTTCCTCCAGTCACCTTTCTGTGCTTGATCCCGTCTTCTCAGGTGGCAAGGCACAGTTCAGTTATAACTCTGCTAGGCCTGTGTGTCTATCTCTGCATTCTATGGCAAAGTTTAGCATCTGAAACACAAGCCACCCTGAACACAACTGCTCCTGGAACAAGTGCATGAAGCTGAAAGAAATAAGAAGGGGATGAGAGAAATGGAGGAGGAATAAAAGGGTTGTGAATAGGATGGTGAACAGGCAGGTAAAAGTGATCATCAAGCATGGCTCCCAAGGGTTATACCCTCCCAGGCTGAGGGATGAGTGAGCTCTGCATGCAGCTATCCCCGCAGCCCACCCTCTCCAAGCATGTCCCGCTGCCGTGCAGGTGTTGCCGTCCCCGTGCGGCACTGGCAGTGTGTGGTGTATCCCAGCACAGCCTAACCAATGTGCAGACTACTGTACAATCTCGTAGTCCTGAACAGGTAGTCTGAACACTGGGCAGACGGAGTGGAGCCTCTGCGATCTGCTCTCCGGCTATCAGCAGCTCATTAGTCCTTTCCCCACCCTGCTTTTGGGATGGGGTTTTGGGGGCAGAGATGGGGTGAAATTAAGTCCAAGTCCTGATTGGAAAAACATCCTCTTCTGGCAGCTGGGAAGAAGAAATGTTGCTCTCTGCGTGTTTCTAATTTGGAGCAAGCTTCCACGATCCTTCCTCTTCCAGTGCTGGTGTCATGCTGGTACCTGGTTTCCACCTGGAGTGTGCTGCACCTTTGTAGAAAGAGAGGGAAAAAAAAATAAAATCAGTTACTGCTGTTTGA